GGGGGGGGGGAGGAAGGAAAGAAAGAGAGGTACGGGATAGTCTACAACAGCAAACAGAAAGGGGGGTGGAAGAGGGGAGGAGCAAAGAAGGGCGGCTCAAGATCGATATATGTACGGAGTATGTGTGTATGTAAGTGTCAAGTGGATGTATGACCGACGTAACTGCTCTGCAAAAGGCCTGTGCGAAGGTGCGGTAAGGAATGGTACCGATGATACGGTCAGGGAGAAGAGAGAGTGCATAACCTGCTGTATTTACTAGTGATGGTGGTGGAGCGAGAAGAGCGGAGAGAGCGTCATCCATCAATCTCAGTTTCCATGGTTGATGCCTGAGTTCATCCAAGGCAGGAAAGACACCTGAACCTGCTGGCCTCCAAGACGCCCGTCGCGACCTCGACCGTGATGCTGCGCGGCCACGACCGCCAAAACACTAGTCCATCACTACGGCAACCTACTCTATCTGTCTGTCGTGTCGCGGTCTCATCACGTGCCGGTGCTATATTATGCTTAGTCATCTTTCAGTGGCTCCATCTTCCTGTGGCGGTGGGAAGAACATCAGGTGACCATGCGGCCAAGCCACACCGTCCAAACCATGTTCGACATTTTTGTTCCGGGTGGACAAGAAAGTGCTGCAATCATCCCCGGGTTCTCACAACAATTGCACTTGAGCGGGGTGTTGTCTCGGTGGTGTCACTCGACGTGGTCTTCATCATCCACTTGCTCTGTGCCGGATTTTTATCGATTTTTTTTGAACGAGAATGCCCAGTCACTAATCCTCTACCTCGATTTTCCGCTATATTCAAGATAGCCATTGCGGCATTAGCCTGAACACCCGATTGCGATCCATTGACCATTTAGTCTGTCCTCAAACTCCACGTCGGAGTCTTCTTCTCATCATGCTGCAACCCCGCATGGCCTTGACGGGCTTGCGCCTGCCCTTCAGATGCCTGTCCTCCGCTATTGCACCCCGAGCATACTCCACCGCCCGCGAAACCGGAACTCCTTCCGCTGGTGAGACTCTCACTTCAGCTTTCGATCCCAACATCACCTTTGCTCCTCCGCCCGTGCGTGAACAGTCCGGTATCCAGGTCCGCAGGTACAAACCCCGCACACCCGGTCTTAGACATTTGCGAAGGCCGATCAACGATCACCTCTGGAAAGGACGTCCCGTGCATAGATTGACTTTCCCCAAACGAGGTCAAGCCAAGGGTGGTCGTAACAACACGGGTCAAGTCACGGTCAGACATCGTGGTGGTGGTCACAAGCGCCGTATTCGTATGGTCGACTTTGCGCGCGCCGCACCAGGCCCGCACGAGGTGGAGCGCATCGAACATGACCCCGGTCGCTCCGCTCACATTGCTCTCGTCCGGAGCAAGTTGACCAGGAAGCTCACTTATATTCTTGCCGCCGATGGGATGAGAGCTGGTGATGTGGTCGAGAGCTACATGGCCGGAATTCCGGAAGAACTCTGGAAGAGCATGGGAGGGGTTGTGGATCCTGGTGTGTTGGCCGCTAGAACCGCGTGGAGAGGAAACTGCCTGCCTCTGCACATGATTCCAATTGGTACATTGATCTTCAATGTCGGTCTCCGTCCCGGCAAGGGCGGCCAGCTGTGCCGTAGCGCTGGTACCTTTGCCACGGTCATCGCCAAGGGTAGTGATGAACAGGCCCGGTACGAGGAGAACCTGAGGAAGGATCAGGAGGGTGAAACTGAGGTCAAGCGCATGACTCAAAACGAAAAGCAAAAGCGGGAGCGCATTGCTTCCCACATCACGATCCGCTTACAAAGTGGTGAAGTCCGACTGATTCACAAGGATTGTTGTGCTACGATCGGTGTTGCCAGCAACCCCAACTACCAGTACAGACAGCTTGGAAAGGCTGGTCGTTCTCGTTGGCTGAACATTCGTCCTACCGTCCGTGGTCTCGCCATGAACGCCGCTGAGCACCCTCACGGTGGTGGACGTGGTAAGTCCAAGGGTAACGTGGATCCCAAGAGTCCTTGGGGTATGCCGGTATGTATTCCTCAATCAATATACCCGGATTGTTTCAACTCGATTAGTTGGCTAACATTCTTTTCGTACAGGCGAAATCCGGTTACAAGACTCGTCCCAAGTGGAAGATCAACAAGGCCGTCGTCGTGCCCAGAGTTCGCAACCAGGGCAAGCGTCGCCGTGGATACAGCTAGACGATCTATCATGTACATTCTGTTTTACCTTTCCCTCGATTTCCCCTCATGCGGCAAGCATTATGTTCGAAGTGTGACTCTACTTCTCGGTGGGAAAGGTGCTGGGGTGGGCACAGTCAGATTGCTCTGATTCACTTGCTCAAGGCCGCTTCTCATTTGCATTCGGTTGTATGTACTTTATTTCGTCTCCGGCATGGCTTTTCCTCGAGGGTTTTAGATATCTACTTTGGTTACACTGCTTTCCGTCCGGGTCATATGGAAATGTCCACCCTCATATTTTCTGGCGTTGTTTTTGTATACTACTACTACTACTACTACTGCTACATGGTTAAGAAATCCAAGATTACCTTTTATTTCAGGCTACGTCCTAATGATTCAGTACCAGGTTGATGTAGGATGAGCATGGCGTTGCCCAATGAGAGAAGGTGGTCCTTGCTCATCTTAATAATGGTCGCCGTTATTGTTCCGCGAGTCGTGAGCGAAGAACAATCGATCCCTGGTGAACGGCTTTCAGTGGGTTGAATCTCGTAAATGTTTCTCTAAAAGAATCATTTTGCATTCAGTTCCAGCAAAGAATTTCTCCAGATCAGCTTAAGGGCCAAAAGTCATCGACTCCCACCCTCACAAACGCCCTGTGGTGGCCAAAAGTTACTAACCAGGAACGACTTCGAATCGACGATGCGCCTAGAAGCCTCCTGCTGACTTAGCGATAGTTTCACACTGACAGCGACATTTGACCTCTATCGTTAACCAAAAGTCAATGCCGTACCAACTTTACTACATTCCCTAAGTCGTTTGTTTGTCTTGCGAACCAAGAGCCAGTCTCCTCCGACCGGTTCCGCTGTGTGTTCCTCTTTCTGCGTCATTCCTTTCCTTGCTTGTTCCTTGCACGCGCCTCCGGCCATGACAGATTCGAATCGCCCCCCACATCATCTCTCCGATCCTCACCCTTCGTCATCCTCGCAGGACCTGCAGATTCCCTCTACGACGCACGAGACCGGACACAGCGATGCAGACAGCCACTATGTACCGCGTCCGAAGCGCATTGCCTGCGTACTTTGTCGGAGGCGAAAGCTGAGATGCGACGGGAAGCGACCCAGCTGCGGCACTTGCTCCCGTCTCGGCCATGAATGCGTTTTCGACGAAGTTCGCAAGAAAAGCGGGCCCAAACGAGGTTATGTGAAACAGTTGGAAGCGCGATTGGGTACGTGAACTCCGGAGGACACAACCCTTCTGGCGCCTGGCTGGCGTACAGTTTCTGAGCTGCCCCTCCCATACTGACATTCCACTTCCCACGTGCAGCGCAAGTCGAGAACCTGTTGAAGAACCAGAAGACAAATCCACCACTAGACCAAGGGAGTGGCTTCCCCGGCGCAGTCACTAACCACTCAACCGACATCTCCGAGATCCTTTCTATCATTAATGAATCGAGCGAGTTTCAGCAACACCATGATCGAATCTCCGACCCGTTCCCCGCTCAGGCGTTCCAGCAAGCTGGCCCGACCAACTCCCCGGACTATGGCATGGAGATGATAAGTCTTGGCCTGGAGGAGCCTCTTCCGAGTCAAGAAATTATTGATGAGCTGTATGTTTGCAGTACATCGCCTTTTGCTTCCGTGTTCACTTTCTCACTATTTCCAACAGAAATGAGATATACTTCGAGAAAATCCATCCTGGGATTCCCATACTACATCGTCCCAGGCTACTGGCGGCCATGAGCCTCGGCCCCAGCATACGACCTCCGTTGTGCTTGCAATATATTATGTGGAGTCACGCGGCATCCATCAGCGACAAATACTCCAGCTTGCATTCGGTATTCTACGAGCGAGCCCGCAAATACGCCGAGGCGGACGAACTGAAAGGGCTGGGGGAACATGCGGTGTCTTTAGGTCACTGTCAGGCTTGGGTGCTCATCTGTACCTACGAGTTCAAGATGATGTTCTTCCCTCGAGCGTGGTTGAGTTCTGGGAAAGCCGCAAGGCTGGCTATCATGATAGGGTTGAATCGGGTCGATGGGGAAGGTATCGATGTGAAGCAAACATTGACTGCTGCAAAAGACTGGAATGAAAAAGAGGAGCGACGGCGGGTGTTCTGGATGGCGTATTGTGCCGACCGGTTTGCGAGCATTGGCACTGGGTGGCCTGTCGTTTTCGACGACAGAGATGTGAGTTGCGACCTAATGTATGTGTGCTGAAAGAGAACTATCAACTGACATGACCCCACAGGTCTTGACTAACTTACCAGCCTCTGAAGAGGCTTTTCTCAAGAACCAGCCCCAAGACACAGTTTCTCTAGAAGCTGCGCACGCGGGAGAGGGCATGCCTACCCTGTCTGCCTTCGGGGGTGTGGCCTTCATGGCCAGCATCTTTGGCAAGAACCTTGCCCACCTTCATCGGCCTAATCCACACGATGACGATCACGACCTCAATGGGGTCTATTGGCAGCGGCACAGGTCCCATGACAACATTTTGCTCCATTTCTCTCTCACCATGCCTTCTCATCTGCGATTATCCGTCGGGACAACCGACCCCAACGTCATCTTCTGTAACATGGCCATCCACACGGCCACCATTTGTCTCCACCAGGCGGCCATCTTCAAAGCGGAAAAGAACAAGATGCCAGGGCCCATTGCCACCGAAAGCAAGAGAAGATGTATCTTGGCTGCGGAGCAGATCTCGAACATCTTGAGGTTGAGCAGCCATGTCGATCCCAGCAAGGTGAGTCCGAGTTCGAATTCAAACTTATTTGGCATTAACGCATCTTCAGATGAATGTCCTCACACCCTTTTGCGTCTACGTTGCGGCACGCGTCTTTGTACAATACTTGAAATTCCGGCCCGACGACTCGGCCGCCCGTTCATCCTTACAATTCGTCTTCTCCGCACTTCACCTACTGAAGACCAAGAACCCGCTTGCGGAATCGTTTATCTTTCAGCTGGATCTCGATACGGCAGGCACGGTGTTGTCCGACTTCAATCAGTCGAAGAAAGCATGCTTCATGAGAGCGGGTCTGCAGCGAGACGCGGTAAGCTCCGTCCCTTTCCTTGAAATCTCACAGGATCATTGAGTGCTAATTGGCCTCCTTTCCCCAGGCTTTCACCGAGAGACGCTACTCCAGCGACTCATCTCTACTGAACGTCAGCCAAACACGAGTCCAGCCCGACCCAGACCCCTTCGACGCATCGCAAGGAAGCTGCGGCTCCAGCTCCCGGTCCTCTTCAGTCGCGCAGCAGATCCGCCTCGAAGTCCGCCAAGCCAACCCCTCGCTGAGTGACGCAGCGGCAGCAGCAGTAGCCCACCGGCACAAAAGACATCGCACCCAACAACAGCCCCCGACGTTCGGAGACGAGATCCACACCCCCGACCGAGACCTGAGCCATCCCGTGGTGGTCGACTACAGCGGCGGCAGCAGCAGTGTAGATCTGCGCACCGACTCGCTCTCCCCGGATGTTCACTCATCCTCCGCCACCTCGTCGTACACGCGACTCAGTCCCCAGCAGCCGCCTGGACTCGCCAACAACAGCTTCATCGCCACCCCAGCCAGCTCCCTCGATTCGGCTGCGGCAGCCTGCAACACCAACTCGACCGCAGCAAACCTCATGTTCGCCAATCCGGCGATCCCACTCGACGCTGGCGCTGGGTATCCCGATGTCTTCGCCGGGGTCCCGCGGTGGGACATGAATGCCCTCGCGTTCTCTGGGCTCGATGGTTCCACCCTGGACAACAGCATGTCCGGCGGTCTGGACGGTCTCAGCGAGGCCCAGTGGGCGCAGCTTCTGACCACGAACTGGGATGCCTACCCGGATCCGAATATTCTGCCTTGAGAGATCCGACCCATTTGCATATGCGAATTTGGAACAGAAAAGAATGATGATCAATCACTATAGAGCCGCTGGGCGGGAAACATCACGAGACTCACGAATTGTACATTCATTGATATGTGGGAGGGTGGGGGGATATCGAGTTGAGTTAGCATTTGGACATACCATACCCCATGAGATCATCCATATCAAGAATCAATATAGCCAATGCGTCCTACATGTTCGTAAAATACCATACTTTATAAATGGTAAGACTTGTGGCATTCACCCCGCACTTAGTAATTATAAGAAAGGGGGGGGAAGAAATGCAAAAGAGAGCATCCAAGAACCATATGCGACCAGAACCAGCAAAACTTGCCTCAACAACGCCATAAAAACGCCTGAAAATGGATGACCACCAGGGTTGCACACCATAACCCTCTACGGTGGAGAGGACATCATACATTGTCTCTCGACAAACACAAAATCATAAGATTCATCTTTTGCCGGGGGAGCAGCAGCAGCAGAAACAACAACACCTTGCAATTACAGATTCCCCCCAGCGGCCCCCACGATCCTCAACCCACCATGGCCACTGCCATCGGCGGTGGTGGAATACGCCAGCCAGTACCGCGAGGGATGCCAGGCGACGGCGGGGATGCCGGAGTTGGCGTTGCCGCCGACGGGGACGGTGTAGACGGACTCGCCGGTCTCGGCGTGGAAGACCTCGAGCCCGTTGCCGCCGCAGCCGACCTCGTCGCAGGCGCCGACGAGGAATCGGCCGTCGAAGCTCCAGCTGACGCCGCGCACGGCGCCGCCGTTGCTGCTGGAGACGGTGCGGCGGCAGATCCAGTCGGTGGTGTCCCACAGCGAGATCAGGGCGTCGCTGCCGCCGACGGCTAGGTAGCGGCCCGTCGGCGCCAGGGCGATGGACAGGCAGGCCGACGTGTGCGCGTGCAGGGTGTGCAGCAGGGAGAAGCTCGGATACGAGAGGATCTTGACGGTCCCCTCGCCCGTCGTCGCGAAGAGGTGTAGGTCCGGGGCGGCGGCCGTGGCGATGTGGTGCGAGAAGGTCGTTGCGTTGGTTTGCACGGGTTGTTGGTGGGGTTCGAGGGCTCGGTAGATGCTTGTGGGAGGGGTGGTTGTGGTTGCTGCGGGGGGTTTGTCGGTCAGGAGGGTGGGCGTCGGCGTCGGCGTGGAGAGGGACTCAATGGAGATGGGGATGAGGGTGTCGTCCTAAGAATCGATGCACTCGTCAGCAAGTCGAGGTGGATGTTGTTGTTGCAGCTGCAGGGCTATACCAACCTTTCTTCCCACGATAAGGGTGCCCCCATCCGCAGACCAGGACAGCGTGAACGCCTCCGTGCCCACGTCCAGCCGGCTCACACATGTCTTGGACCGCACATCCCAGAACCGCACCGTACCGTCCGTCGAGCAACTGGCCAGTTCCGAGTCCCGTGTGGGGTTGAAGACGACCTTCTCGATACCGGCCGTGTGGCCGCGCAGTTCGGTGGAGTATTTGACTTGCGAGCGCTCGGGGTTCCAGATTCGGAGGGTGCGGTCGGCGGACCCGGTTGCAACTAGCTGGCCCGCG